CAGAACTTGCCAGCTGTGCCTACATCAGGCCTTTCAGGTTTGTTCTAGGCAGCAGGTCTCTGTTAAGACCTGGTGCTCTAGGCATGTAGCAATGGTGATAACATCCAGTCTTTTGTTCTGAATCATGCTGATTATGATCTTACTTCTCATTTTAAACTATGCTGCTTGACATAAAATCTACCTGTTATGTACTAAACTTCTGGACTGAGCAAGTATGTGACAAAATAAGACCTCCCTCCAAAACAAAAATCAGCATAAAACTAACTTAGTAAAACGTAAATAAAATGTCACTTATCTTTCAAATATGTCCAAATGTAAAATATTTTATGTTACTTGATAAATTTTATTTTATTCTGAAACTTATTAATAATTCTGTTAATTAATTATTGCTTAATAATGCATCCTACTTACGGATCTATTTTATTCTCAAGATAGTATTACAAAAGTAAAGTTCAGGCATTGATAATAATTTTAATTGAATTTATTTAGTTCCCATTTGCTGATAGGTCCTTAATTTTTTTTCATTAATAACCTTAAAAGTACTTAATTTCCGTGTGCAGAAATGTATACGAAATGCTGTATTAAAATCTGTCTATATGTTTGTTTGTTTGTAATTTCATCTTCTGCGGATCGGCGGCGATTTGAGTTTCGAGAGAAGTATTTCCGGAGTCCAAAAATTTGTGGGAAGCCATTTCAATCATTCCCATCTTCGTACGATTTTAATCAGCCGAGATATTAATTAAAAAGTCTGAAAGCAACAAAAAATTTATTTACGAATTGTTTGTTGCTTGAAATATTAATTTTTGATTGTTGCAAGATATTAAACAAATTTACGAATTGGTTGTTTGACATTTGGTGGGCTTGGTCTCTGGTATATACTAAAATCAGCAGAAGCAGAATTTGTGAGGCCCATATCACACATTCATTTCTTCATACGAACATCTCTTTCGGACACTTTTTCTGCCTGGTTTACGAATGAAAGAAAGGCGCGCGATTTTTTCCTTCTTTTCGAAAAAAATTGTAAGTTGGTCGTTTTCAACGTATCAGCTTCGAATGTTATCAGCTTGTTTGCAATGGAGAACCAGTTTCCCCTTTGCATGTTAACCCCAAAATAATGTGTGGTAATTGGTTGTTGCGACAAAGCAGAAAAAAATGTTCCAAACCGTTGTTCTTCCGAAACAAACAGATGTGTGATAGCAGCCTAAGCAACAATGAAAGAATTTAAAGACCGGAAGAAAACTTCAGTTTCTGAACAAAATATGAAAGAAACATAACAAGAAGTTTTCGCAAAGAAAGTGGGTATAAAATAATTATAACCTGACACCTAGAGCTTTTCAAGATCACACTTTAGAGCATCAGCTTCCAAACTCCGCTAACGCAGAAACATTGGGTTGTGAAGAAAGAACTAGACGTGACAGAGTGACTGAAAGGATGGCCAGATGTTTAATTGAAATCTAAAAAAAGAAAAAAACAGAAAGCTGTGTGATTTTAGAATTTTGAACTTTGTATTTTCTAAACGACATCTGATTTGTAATATAAAAAAGAACATGCTTTAGAGTTTAAATCAATCTAGTACTTCTGAATAAAATATAGAATTCTATATTACATCAATAGTGAACACATTTTCACTATTTTAGTTCAGGAGGAGTGGTGCTGCAGTCACTCTTACACTCTCTGTGTGCTGTAAATAAAACAATAGAAATGCAAGCGTTCATCTCATAGCTGCATCACTGAATCGAAAACAAAATATACTATTGTGTTTCTCATCTACCACCTGATGGTCCATGGTTCGCGATATCATCGTAAATCCTGACAAGACAGATCTTTATACGCAACTGAAGAAGCACACCATTTCCAGATGCGGAGAGACCAAAACTCAAGAAATTCGCCGCTTATTAGCTGAAGAACAGTAAAGGCCCATTTACACCAGCGGAACTTTCAGTCTAAGAAATGCACGCGGAAGTTGCTAGTTTCACTAAATGGCGAAAATGTTACTCTTTTTTAACTGAAACTGAATATGTACACATTTAAATAAACAGCCTAACTTATAACATTATTCAAGAGTTTAAGAGTTAAATATTTCCTCATAATACGAAAAAATTGCTGTTTAAAAGCTCTTAAACGAGTCTTCAAATTCGCCTGCGTTTCTTAGGCTCAAAGTTCCGCTAGTGTAAATGGGTCCTTAGGTGACCGTAAGCTTAACGAATTGCTTCGTGTAATGCAGCACCGAGTCGTATACTATTGCCGACTCTCTTATGTCAGAGTCATTTTTACAGTAATTATCTACAAACGCTCAAGCAATTCTGTAATCCATTTCCCCACTGTCAGCACAAAAAGCTGCTGAGGTGGTTGATGGAATCTTGGGAGTTACTCCATCCGAGGTAAGCTAAGCTTAGAATTCTTCTAATACTGATATTGTAATAGGGAATCTCGTCTTCTAGAGGAGTTAAAAGAACACCGTTAAGAAGTAAATTCCTGAAAAAGGTTGAGAAATCATTCTCGTAAACAATGTAATCGACATATCTGTCATCAAATTCTTAAGCCGCAGCTGCTTTGGATATTTGCTAGTATCATCAGCAGTTCAAATCAAAAGCAGAAAGTGTACACCGCCATATTCGTGCCAGGCAAATGCTAGCGGGTAGGTATAGTGGCGACGTATATCCTGCCATCAGCTTCTCGTCGCCTATTTATATGAGGCCAAAAATCAAAAGTGAATTTTCTTCCTGACATATGTTCTGATGCAACTTTAATTCCTGCTAATTAATATGAAAAAAGACAGACTCCGATCCAAACTTCTAATGCCGCCAACAACACACCCATTCAGGTTTATCGTCAAAACTTGTTATCACTTGATTTTGGTTTAATAAGAAATTTTGTGTTTTCCTTTTTATATTTGTTTACTTTTATATAGTTTCTACTGCTGTAATTGGTGCTGATTTCTTGCATTATTTTATTTTAAAACCTGAAATCGTCGCTTAACTGACGAATGTATAAAATTGAATTGCCTTGATATTTATTTATTTTAACTATTACTGATTTTTTTAATTTTATATTTTTATTTATATGCTCTCATCAAACAGCAACTGTTCCTCACCGCTTCATATTTTTCCTAAAAAGGAAAGGGGTAACTGTCGTCCTGTTAGTGATTATCGCTCCTTAAACGCGCAGACTGTAAAAGATCGGTACTATATTCCCAGTATTGTTGACTTTACGAGTGAACTCCACAATACTAAAATATTTTCTCACATGGACTTGGTAAAAGCTTTTCATCAGACTTACTTGAATTCAATTTGACCTGTGCAATGCTTCCAGCACATTTCAACGATTCACTGATGAGGTTACTTAGAGGTTTAAATGGTGTATGTGCCTTCAACTGATGACATGTTGATAGCATTCAAAACTCATAAAAAACATAAATGCAAACGTTCATCTCATAGCTGCGTCTAAGATCACAACAAGGTTATTTAGAGATGCAAATGGAATGTCAACATTGATCACTGGTTAAGCTTTTGATAGGGTTTGGTTGGAAGGCCTCATTCACAAATTACTTACCCTGGGATTACTGGGCGACATCACAAGCATTAATAAGGTCTACCTAAAGGGTAGAAACTATGGCGTTCGCATTTCAAAAACATACTTTTTGTTGCGCCTGCGCGCGCATTTCATTACTAGCGTCGGCGCATGCTCCTTGAGCTCTTGGAGTTTGTGACATGAGATTGTGAGCTAAGAGCGTGTGAGAGAATTCGTGGCTTCGAGTGGCCAAGAACTATGTAAATTAATGAGAATTAAAGTGAGATATAATACAGTCCATTGTTCCTGAGTTTATTGAATTATAGTGTAGTGCCTGTGCAAAACACTTTTCTTCCCGTGCTGTTCTAATCAATGTGCAACAGGGTTCCTTAGTGGCGCTTACGCTATTCAACTTAAATGAGAACAACATCCCGCAAACACCAGCACTATGTTAAGGACCCATTTTATGTTAAGGATACTGCAATTCTCTTACAAAATGATTTTTTTTTTGTCCAGCATTGCCACAAAGTCACAAAAATGCATTAGAGATCTGGCTTGTGAACTTGAAAACTGAAATTAATGTGAACGAATTTTCCTGGCCGAGGCGAGTCACTTAACTTGTGGTGATCCTTGATCCAAAAAATAGTCCTCACACGTTCACTCTATTCTCCAGAAGTTCCGAACACGTAAAGTAAAACTATACCCTTTAATTGCCCGAAACAGCTTTTTATCAATTGATAATAAGCTATTCACATACAAAACCTCTTGCGCCCTATGCTTCGTTACACCTACCCAATTTGGGCATATTCCTTCTGCACCAATTGCAAAACATTACAAACGGCTCAAAATTGCATCTTGAGACAAATATATCATATGGTACGTCAGAAATAATAAAATTCACGAAGAACTGGGTGAGTACTCTGGTGATTACATCTTTCGACTTTTGTGTGTGATAACTGGCATATCAAATATTGAAATCCAGCCTGAGATAAATTGCCGAGCGGCAGATTCGGCAGATATATCGTACAAGAGAAATGTTTCCGGCCATACAATGTATTTGTCAGTGGTAGTTAATAAATATTGAAAACTTTCAGATGTAGACAGTTGACTGACAAATAGCCAAATATATATAGCGAAAGTTTGTGGATTGCATGAAATATTTCTGTAATTAAGCTTAGATTTGCCTTATAACTTTGGAATTAGATTGCTTGATCATGAGATATGAACAGTTCTTGAGCATTGAGGGTAAGAAACACTCCCTGAATAAGTTTTTTTGTCGCATGAATTCATGAGATTTCTGAGAGGTGTAAAAAGCATAAAAAAAATTGTTTTTTCAAAATTCGAGATGTGCGTAAGATTTTAATTTAACATTATTCGTGCCACGCAGTAGTCATAAGTTAGGAGTGAGCTGTAACATTAAAGAGCAGTTTGAGTTCCTTGCGGAGCCGACTCTGTTCATTATCATTTGTTTGAGATCGACATTTATAGTAAAATCAGTTGTACCAGTTGTTTGAATGCATGACGATGTAATGAGCTATGTAATGTCTCTGGTATTTCAGTTTTATGTTGCCTAACGGCGCTGTAACTTCCTTGAAAAGAAAGTATAAAAAGTCATTTTTTTGTTTCCTAATTTGGCATCAACATAATACTTTGTACTGAAACGCTGTAATTTGTTTTGAAGGTAATTTTGTGTTTTTATTTCATAGTATTTGCAAAATATTAAAGTTTTGAGAGTGTAATTTCTAAGTAAGTCTATCAAGAGTTTCTTATTTTATTTTTGTATAGTTTATGTAGACGACCTAATTGCGCTTTGGAAATCGGTGTTCATTGTTAATTTTTATAAATTATGTTACCACGTATTTATGTGTTATAGATTTAGTAAAAGAGATTGAAACTAAATTTTTAATTAGACTGTTAAGATATTTTTCGTGAAGTTAATAACCTTTCACAGTTTCTTTTTTATATGTCTTAAAATTATTTAAATATGCAACTGACTGCCGGTACAAATTCCCAAATGATTGGTAGTCTTCAGAGTGACACGTTATGTTTAAATTCTTATCATTGCTTTTGCTACGTACACAGTTTTTCAGTATCACATCTGTATATTTCTTATGAAGAAGGAAGGGTATTTTGATGGGAAGTTTATATTATGTGAAGAAATTGTGAAAAGTACAAAAGCAGGGCTGAAATTTTCGGGTAGCACTTCCCCTGAGAATTCGCTAAATGTAAACACCGCCAAAATAGTATAGTTATCTTTCCTCTTTTAAGAATTTCATTTGATGTATCTTCCGCACAATACGTGTTTTTACTTTTCAGTTAATTGACAGAAGGAAAGGTAGGTAGAAGTGCTGTTTTTCTTAAAGAACGAATGGAGTGTGAAAAGAATTATTTATTGTTTCCTTTAGATACACATATATAAAAGTAATTTTTTACAAATTTGAGAAAAAAGAATATAAAAAATAATTTTTTTTTTTTTGCATCATTCCCAAACAGAGCATGTATATCTTTCGTATTAACTCAATCATCTCAATAAAAGTTTATAAAATTTTGGCATTGCATGTGAATTGTATGGTTGCTGCAAAATCTGTTCTTATTGCTCCAAGTTCCTTTTTTCTTATATTGCGATAACCACGCAGATAGCAATTCTTAGATTTCAGTAAGAAACATAATCATTTCGTATGCAATCTTTTTTATTGTATTTCAAGTTCCATTGGGTTTTATATACAAATTGTGATTTTTTTGGTTTTAAAACCCAATCTAAAATGATTAATATTTAAGACAAAAAGTCTTAAATGCCTGTAAAAATTGCCTGAAGTAGGAAAAAATTTTGGTAAAATTTCTGCAGGAATTTTGCATTTTACTGCATATTCGGTAAAAGGAACAAATGGTTTGAATCTATTTTTAAAGCGATGGAATGAAGTTTCTACCAGAACAAAAGAAACAGAAAGCTGCTTAGAAGTAGATTTATTGAAATATATTCTGACTAATTAACATAATTAAAATAAAAAATATGTATGCAAGTAATTTTTTCAACTACAGGTTATTTTTTTCCTTCTGTAAAAATTGACCAAGTTATGCTAAAGTGTTTATGTTAATATGTATGTATAGAACCACGTGTACACTGGTTCGATTTTGTAAATAGATATTTGTGCCAAGTTACCGAAGTTGCGTTTTTTTCCCCATTCGTACGCATGTAATCATCGTATAACCAAAAAAACAGCCTTTTAGGGGGTGTGTAAAGTAGCAGGTCTTCCCGTGGCACACCATAGGTAACGCTAAATCTGCTACGGTATTCAGAATCTAGTGTTTTTTAATTTGTAGGCAAAATTTCTTACTCTTTTATGTTCTTCCCAGCAATGCTCGTTTCAGCACTCTTTTCGAATCTCTATTCAGTCAGTGTGCCCTGTTCAAGCACACCCACAGAATTAAAACGATAAGTGCTGATTCAGAAGTCAAACAACAAAAATCAGCGTTAATTCACAAAATTTTCACAGGACTAGTTTCGATGGTTTTACCGAACCATCATCTTCAGCTGCAAAACCGCAAATGAACAAGATAGGTTTGTGTCTTAACGATAAGTGCTATCTTAACAAAATTTGACCTGTGCACTCCTTTAGGCCATTAGACTGCGTACTTTTTTTTTTTTAAATCGAAATTCCAACTTTAAAAGGTAGTGTGCTGGAAAGGGTTAACACCACAAAAAGTTATGAAATCATTTTTTTGTTAAAGTTTGGAATTTCCTTGTTAAAGTGATCCCTGAAAATTCACTGGCAACATTTAAACTTAATTTTTTGAAGATTAAAAAATGCTATGGCAAGCTTAGCTTTGAAATGTTAAAAGATACAATGTATGAAGGAAAATAACATTTATCAATCTCTCTTGAGATCATAATTTGGCAACTGCTAGTATTATAGAATTAAATATTGCTACTTTTTGATTTTCATACATATTTAACTATTTGTTGCACCATCTGATGGAAATTTGTTCTTCAGTCCAAAAGTTATAAAATGTTAAGTGGTGAGAAAAGGGAAAATGTTAAGTGGTGAGAAAAGGGGTCCTGGAACTATAAAACAAATTATTGACAGGAAAATATTTCACCTGCTGTTTCCCCCCTGCATCTTCAAGCACTTTAAACACACCCAATAAATTAGTGACAAAAACATTTGCAAAATTCTGTATTTACATATGTCAAATTCCATGCTTTCTAAAGAGGTTATCACTTCTAGCAACAGTCCCTGCTAGACGGGACTTTTCTGAGAAACAAGATTCCAGTAGCACTGGTTTAAACAGGAGGATTCCTAGGAAAAAAAAAAGAGCCCCGCTCGAAGCAAAGTCCCACCTAGCTACGGAAACGATATATAGGCTATGCGGAATTTTTTCAAATCTCGCCGAAAATGTCTTGGCTAGAGCTCTGTCTCGGGTAGAGATCAACCAATCAGATGAAAGAGCTGCTTTTGAAGGATCACGTGATCCCAATCTAAATTTTATCTAACAAAACTGCTTCATCATGACAAACATTCACTGCAAAATTGGGAAAAAGTGCACAATACCATACTCCTTATGCGTTTTTCAAAATAACACATACACATAAACCATGTACACATCGACTTATTTTTACTTAAAAAAACATCCCAGAATTGCACAAAAATGGCATTGCACACACTGTTCACTATATCCATGTGCACTGCTTTTTTCTCATAAATTAGAAAAATGTCACGAAAATGCATAACAATTTTCTGAATCTTTAAACCCGGTAAAAAGAACGGTACTTTTCCGTTTTGCCGGCGCAAGCGATAAAGTCGCCAATAATGGTACAACCGATGCCAAACGGAATATTCTCGCTGGTAACCTTTTACGCCTCATTCAGATAGTTCAGTTTTATGTCTAAGACCATTTTCGGCAATTAAATCAATTAGGATGCAATCACAGCGCTTACCCGAAGCCGAAAATATAGAAAAGGTAAAGTCAAGGGTTAAATTCATCAATTCTAATGAGAATGCATTAGCGAAGTAAAGCACTGCAGTTTTACATAATTTCTGAGTAAGTTATTCGTACGAATTGAAGTATTTCTTGCATTTAAACCTTGTATTCCAAATTAAGATTTAACTTGAAATTAATGTAGATAATTACTGAGAGCATTATATTTTTGTAGAGTAGTTACGTGAGATGAGATCGCTTGGGGTCACGTGATATGAACCGGCGAAAACAGGATGTTGAACCATGAAAGCATAGTAAATTCTTAAATTAATGTCTTTTTATAAATTTATTGTCTTTATTTATTGGCTTTTTATAAAATTTTAAGCGATATTAAAATGTTTATGCCTTCAAAAAAAGAATTCTTAGGACTAACATTTTTTAAATATTTTTTGTGTGTATGTTGTCGCCAATAAAGTCTGCTTGGCGAGATTTGCGCCGGCGAAACGGAGAAGTACCAAAAGAACATATATGAAATTACCTGATCGCGAAAAAGTATATACTCTTTCCAAATATGAACATTTCCACGTATAAAATAAATAAAATATCCAAAAACTTTTACCTCTCAATTATCTCTTATATTATAAATGTCACCAACGAATTCATTCCGCAAACATTACAAATACTTAGTGTCAAATATTTAAATTATTTCCATGCACGTTTACTTCAACTAAAACGTATACCAAATTCCTACAAACATAAAATTCACAAAATAACTATCATTTATTTAAAATATCACTAAACCATGTACACGTCGACTTATTTTTACTTAAAAAAACATCCCAGAATTGCACAAAATGGCATTGCGCACACTCTTCACTATATCCATGTACACTGCTTTTTTCTCATAAATTAGAAAAATTTCACGAAAATGCATAACAATTTTCTGAATCTTTAAACCCGGTAAAAAGAACATATATGAAATTACCTGATCGTGAAAAAGTATATACCCTTCCAAATATGAACATTCCCCGTATAAAATAAATAAAATATCCAAAAACTTTTAACCTCTACATTATCTATTAACGTCACTAACAATAATTCATACCGCAAACATTACAAATGGTTACAAATACTTAGTGTTAAATATTTAAATTATTTCCATGCATGTTTACGCAAATTACTTACTTCCACCTTACATTTAGAACAATGCATAAAAATAATATCCTCAAATAATTAAAAATACTAACTTACCTAATCTTTTTCAGAATCTTGATTACGTGTCCGATAAACTTTCTTATTTCTGTTTCAGGATCTTTAAATCATACTTATAGTTCACAGCAAGGTACCAGGTAAAATAAATACTTAATAAAACATCTTTCTTCTATCTCACACAACCTTAAAGAAACACTTATTACTAACTCTTTCAATCCCACTAAATACCCATTTCGAATTCACTTTAGTTAGGGCCATGGATCCAAAAATTAACGAACACTGTTTACACAACACAGAATAAAGCCAATTACAAAATTTCCAGATTTTTTCCCGATTTCCCCCCTTTTCCGATTAAAGAACCGTAATTCATCCATTAATATCACATGACATATCCCATGATCTTTCATTTCCCTCACACAAAATAATGCGTAATCAGAACTGAGTACTGCTCACATTATTACCAAAGTCCCAGGTAGTAACCTTTATCGCCTCCAAAATGTCGCCAAACTACCAGTTACCATATTCTAAAGATCAGCCTTCAAGTCTTTGCAGTAAGTGAAAATGGTAACATAGCTATGTGGGTTTCCTGGAAATGTACCGGTTCTGAAAATTGCCCC